GGAACAGAGCTGGGCCAGGACAGCAGGTGGGGTGCCGGCCACTCTCCTCAGCTTCCTGAGGAACAGAGCTGGGCCGGGACAGCAGGCGGGGTGCTGGCCACTCTCCTCAGCTTCCTGGGGAACAGAGCTGGGCTGGGACAGCAGGCGGGGTGCTGGCCATTCTGCTTCCTTGCAGGGCCATCGCTCGAGCAGCCTCCCAGCTGCGCTCTGTGCAAGGGGCTATGTCACGGGGCATGTCTAGCTCTAAACCACTGCATACCATCAAATTATGGCCTGTACATACCATCCTCAAAAGCCACAACGGCATCTAAATGCAACATTTCACTTTACAGCTGGGTTTCAACATCTGGAAAGAAATGACCTTCCAGTTCATTCCCCCACTAGGACCTTAAACAACACTCACCACGCCCTCCGTCAACACAAGCCTCAGAGCAAACCGAGCTTATGGGGCCAACAGGCTGCAGCCCTGCGGCCACCCACAGCCGGCAAAAGCCTCTGGGGACTCTGTGGGAAACGGGCTCAGGGCTGGCACACCATGCTGGAGTCTCTGGCTGCCTTTCTGCCCCCAGTAAACGCCCTGGCGCATCGTCCATACAAACTGGCCCTCGCTGGCTCTCTACGAAGGGGCCTCCAGGGGGAGATGCTCCCAGCCACTTTCTCACCTCTTCCTGAAAATCGACTGAAGCAAAAGCGACCCCACTCAACCCTCATCCACCCCTACCCGAACCTTCTCCCACTGGGTCTCTGCCCAGCACCTGTCAGCCTCCTCCAAGCCAGCACCTTGAGACCTTGCCACGTGCCCTCTCCGCCAAAATTAGCTCTTACTCCCCTCGATCCCATCTCACTTCAATGTCTTTGAGATGGCCCTACGTCTCCAGCCTGTGGCCCTGTCATGATCTCTGTTGCTGTTTTCTGGGCTTGTCCACTGGTCCCCAGCTCCTACCCTGGACTGCTGTTTGTCAGGTCCAAGTCTGTCACTTAAGCTGCCACAAGATGGGCCTGTCCAACATGCAGAGCTGGCCGTGATGCTTCATTCCAGTCAGAGGCCCTGACAGAGCCCCCGCCATCAGGACCGAGGCCTGGTTCTGTGGATGGGTGGGTTTGCGCCATCGGGCTCTGTTCCCTCAGGAAGGCCCTTCTCCCATAACGTCCCGTGCCAGGCTCATTCCTCCAGGACTCAGCCAGGGGCTTGCCTCCTCCAGAAGCTTCCTTGGCCCCCCAGGTGGGCAGGTCCCCTGAGGTCTTACCAGGCCTGCCTAGAGCTTGTCCTCCCGGTCCCCTGCTACTCTCCAGGGCAGGCACTGTGCTGACTCACTGTTCGATCTCACAGGGCCGGCCCCGCAGGCACAGCGAAGGCTGGGTCAGGACGAGCTCTCTCAGCTCCGAGGCTGTAGCTTGTATGCTTTTGCTTCTTTGTGCTTCTCAGATAAATTTCTACATAGGAAAATACTTGGATGCATTTAAGATACAAAATTGCTTTTAGAAAAGAACGTGGCACGGTCTGTATGAAACCTCTTCACAGCCTTGACTTCCTTAGGCAAGGAACCCAGGGACCAGCGTGGTGAGTGCAGTGGGTGCCACTCGGCAATGGTGAAAACAGCAGTCATTAGGTGCTGTGACTCCTAAAACACACCTGTCTACAAAAGGCAGCAACACAGCAACACAGCTTATGGAAGGAACAAGCGCTGAGAGCCTCGGCCTTCCCGTCTCACTTGAAAAGTTGGAGAAAGTGAAACGGCTTTGCCCAGTTGCTCAATTTCAAGACTACTGCCAGTTTGTTAGGATGTTACAGGAACTGCTTGAGAAGATCCAGTTTCAGAGACATCTCTGATAAATGTCGTAATATCACAGTGGAATCTAAGCTACGAAGCACGAACATCTGGATGTGGCGCTCATCCCTGACAGAAGAGTCTCCCGTGTCCCCGCACACAGGTGAGGGAGGGGATACGGAGCTCCGTCACCATCGTCATCCTCTCCCTACACGCCCTCCCCGTGTCCCCGCACGTAGGTGAGGGAGGGGATACGGAGCTCCATCACCATCATCATCCTCTCCCTACACGCCCCCCCCATGTCCCCACACACAGGTGAGGGAGGGGATACGGAGCTCTGTCACCATCGTCATCCTCTCCCTACACGCCCCTCCCCCGGCGGCTCCGACTTTACTCAGCAACTTCAAAGCCGTGTCTGGCACTGGGACTGGTTTGAATTAAGATTCCGTTTTCTCCTGTGAGTCTCTGGGCCTGAGGAGAAAGTGCCGGCTGCTTCTGGATTTCATTAGGGGCAATTTTCTTATCTTTTCTTTGTCTTAGGCTTGATCCCCTGAAAACGCAACGTGGCAGGCAACGGGTCTGAATAACAAGGTGCTGCCTGGAAGGCATGCATTGTCCCCGGGGGCCCCGGCGGGGGAGAGGAGCAGAAGAAAGGGGAAAACCAATTTCTGACCCTTCTTCCCCATCATCGGATGCCCAGGGAACCATAAATTGTAAACTTCAAAGTGCTATTTTACATTAAAATCAATAAAAAAAAAAACCCTGAAACAATTTTCCTTTTCAAAGACGCTATTTAAGCTTTAAAAAGTTCACTTGATAAGGTATTATCATGTACACACTTGGCAGGAGATTAAAGCACACGTCAAGACCAACTCAGAAAGGCACGTTCATCCTAAAGGCTGGCCAGGCCGGCCGGGGCCTGGGGAGGGGGAGTGACCCTGAGGGCAAATGCCCATCACTGCTTTGGGCCTGGGCTTGCCCACCAGCAGGGATGCCATGGGGTAAGGGTTTCACCCCAGGATCCAAGAGCCGAAGGCACCACTGAGAAATGCCCATGTGGTGAGGATGGTCCATCAAAACCTGGCCTGGGACCACTGACCGGAAAGAGGGCACCACCTCCTTTCTCTCCGCAAACCAGGAAACCCTGCCTTCTCTCTCTGCATGGAAATTTGGCCACAGTGGGCCCTGGGTTCCCCGGGCGGCACCAGTGTTCACTCAGGCAGGAAGTCGACCAGGCAGCATCTACACCTCTCATGGTGGCCAGAGACTTTACTTTCAGAGAAGCCTCCGAGGGAGCCCAGTTCTCTGGGGCGACCACCAAGTGAGGGGCAGCGGGAGCGCATTCCATGAGCAGACGGCGACACGCCCACGCCAGGGGTCCGATTTCATATGAGCTCATTTTCAGATGTGGCACACATTGGGGGAAGTCCTTCTCTTTTAAATTAGGCAGGACAACTGTCAACATTACATTAAATCTTGATCAAGAGTAAGAAGAGACATCAAAATCCAACCGATGAGATCGGGAAAAAGTGGTTCAGGTACAGATCAGAGCAGGTCTGCTGAGGCGCTCACGAACTCCCTCCTGCACAGCCCGGGCTCAACGCTGGAGCAGCCGAGCAGCCTGGGCGCCGTCAGACGGTGTCTGTTCCTTCTAGGAGCCACTGAGGGCCTGGGGAGGGGGCCCACATGTCCTGGGCCAGGCCTTTATGTCACCAGATCTCAACAACCTTTCTAAGGGGAGCAATGGACCCCAGTTAGAGAAGAATAGCAGACACTGAGAGAGGCCTCGTGACTTATTCACCATCCGCAGAAATGTGGCAGAGTCCACACAAAACGTTTACAGATGTATCCTTGTGTAGGGCCTCACCTGCCAGAGACGTGCACACACAGGTGCACACACAGACATGGGCATGCAAAGACACACAAGCACACATGTGTATACTCATACACAGACGTGCACACACAGATATACACACAAAAAGACATGCATGTGAAGACACACAGACACACAGGTATATACTCATACCTAGATGTGCACACAGAGATATACACACACAGATACACGCAGGCAAAGACACACAAGCACACGGGTGTGTACTCAGAGATGTGCACACACACATGCATACCTGCATGCACACAGACATGCATCCACACCCACACAGACGTGTGTAAGTACATAGGCATGGACACACACCTGAAGACATGTGCATGGCTACAGATGCCCGCACAAGCATGGGGAAACATGCACACAGATGAACACCCACCCACACACACACACGCAGGTGGACACGCACATATGCAGACATGCACTCACATCCAGACAGACACACACGCACACACGTCACAAAGACACATCTGCACACATGTGGTTTATATGTACGTAAATCAGGACAAAACCATGGAGTTAGAGAAAGAGAAAAACGCTGAAGACTGTGTGGGGCTTTGATGCCATATGGACAGTGTTTTCTAACAGAGACACGATCTGTCAGGTTCAGCCACACTAATAAAACCCTTCTCCCCACGTGGCTCTGGGAAGTGATGCAGGCCAGGGGCCGCTCCCCCGGAGCCCGTCACTGCACCGCAGCAGGCAAAGCCGCCATTTTAAAACGAGGACAAGAAAACCTGTGCTGCTCCGCAGCCCGTTCTGGGTCACAGGAATGACTCCAATCTGGCCTAGATCAAAGGAGAAGCAACCACTTGATGACAAAAGCAAACACTGCGCCTTTAAACAGCTCCCTGAGGCTAAATTCTGAAGGCTCAGAGTCCCACGAAGGAAGTGGGAGGAAGGGCGACAACTGCCTCTTGATTTTTAGGAATAAAGAAGAAATACTTATTTCCATTGGACATCGCATCACAAGAGGTTTGCGGAAGAAGAATGAGGAGATCATGAGACCCTGAAGATCTTCGCCTTCGTTTCTCATGAACATACTCCACTCTGCACAAAAATCCCTGCCACTGTCTCCATCACTCTCTCACCATCGGGACCTAGAGTGGGCTCCTGGTTTTATTTCATGCACAGAAGGGAGCACTAAGAGCCGATGGTAAGAAGACAGTCTCCAAGATTCCACGCTTGGCACTGAAGAATGAACTGAGACAGCTCCAACGGCCCCTGCAGCCCCGTTCAGCCACAGACCAGTTTCAGACACGCTCATCTCCAACAAGTGCTTCCTGGAGTGTGTGCACAGAGGAAAAGCTGCTATTTCAGGTGTCACGTGAAGCCAGGAGACTCACCTGAAGGCCGCCAAGTACTCAGCATCTCCCATGGGAGGGTCCAGGCCGCCAGTGAAAGCCATGTTGACGTTGAAACCCACGCCGGGCCCTGTGCCCACCTGTTGCCACAAGGAGAGAAACACACATCACAGACCCTGAGCAGGACCTGTCTGACAGGAACGCCTGACACAGGTGGCACCGGGATGGGCTCAGCCTTGGTGGGCCTCTGGGGAGAGCCCATGCGTCCCGATCTCCTGGTGCATATTCATTAAAACGTGCACGAAGGAGTCCCCCACTCACACTGGTGCACTGACATCAACAAGGGGGCCCTTTTCCTGGCTGCTGAGGGCTCTCGCCGACCCTGCCCTCGGCACACCAAGGCCCCGTACTGACATTTCTGTGGACCCGCCGCCCTGTGTCGTGTGCCGTATGTGACATCGGGGAACCAGACCTGGGTCTCTCTGGGCAGAAAGTGTCTCTGATGAGCCTGTCATTTTCTATTTCCTCTAAAAAAAAAAGATCCAGAGGCAGACGGAGCGTCTTGCCTGGATGAAAGCCCTGCTGTTGGGGCCTCTGTTCAGAGTGGGCAGGCTCTGAAGGGGGACCTGGGGCGTTGTCAAGGAGCCGCTGGGCCTGCCATTCCTGGGGCCGCCACGCAGCCCTGCGCTGGGCAAAGGACAGTGGACAGAGCCCCTTGCCGGAGGGTGTCCTGTGGAAGACAGTGGGCCAGGCCCTGCCTGGAGGAAAATGGGCACCGCTCACCTCCTCCTTCACAAACACCTCGGTCTGCCTGGATGGGAACCAGAAACAATATCCAGCCTCTCATTTGTACTTTAGACAAAACACAGGCCACCTGTGCACACGCGGCGCGACGCACGCTGACGTCTGGCTGAAGTTACCGTCTGGGCTTACGCGAGCGTGAAGGCCTCACTCGCTGCTGCCGGGCAGCTGTGGACCGTCTGCCCCGTGCCCGCACAGCGGCTCCCCGCAGCCCCCCTTACACACCCCACCTACCTCGTCAGGAGCCCCGCTGCCCGGGAAGAAGTTGCCATCGTCGTAGCGGTGGAGGGACACGTACAGGACGCTGGGGTCGCTGTAGAAAGCCTGCTGGGTCCCGTTTCCATGGTGCACGTCCTGCAAGAGCAGGAACAGCCAACTCAGGGCTGAGATGGGTCCTGGAGGGCGGCCTCCCCTCAGGGCCATCTCCCACCCCAGCTGCGCTTAGTGAACAACGGCTCCTGCTCAGGAATGACATTACCCTCCAGCCGGGCCGCACCCAGCGGACGCGGGTCTGGGGCCGTGTGGGTCAGGGCTATGCGGTGCAGGGTTGCGGGGGTTCTAAGGCCCAGTGTTCGCATCCGCAGCACTGTTTCCCTCGCCCTGAGAGCCTTGGCATAATCCTGACTCCAGCAGCGGAGGGGCTGGAGTTCAGCCGGGCCTGGAGGCCACCATTTCCCAAACGAAGCCATCTGATCAATTTCCTGCACCTGCTGTGTCTCTGACAAGTGAGCAATTTCCTCAGCCTCTGTCGGGAAGGAGGTCACTGGCTGTGCCCTGCCCGCTTGCAGGCACACGGGAGGTGCCAATCCCATGCCAGGCAGGGGGTTTGGCAGGAGACAAGTCCCAGGTGTCTGTGAGTGACAGGCACACACAGTACGGGGTCCAGGCCCCTGTGCCCAAATGGCAAGCACCGTTTCTTAATCACAAAACCCACAGGTCAAATGCACCAGAGGGCAACACGAGAGGCAGCCTGGGGCTTTACTGACCATGGCTGTTCTGCCCTGGGCCACACGGCAGGTGGTCACCAGGATGGGCGGGCGAGGGGGTGGCCCTGCTGAGAGCAGCTGTGTGCCTGAGAAGAGAGCAGGCAGCCCTGATGTCCCCAGGGTGAGAACTTGCTGCTCCGTTATCTGTGCTCATCACAGTAAAGGTGGAAGGGCAGCCACAGGTGAGGAGCGATGGAACAGGTGCCTTCGGTCCCACAGAGCAGGTAATCACCATGAAAATGCACACGGAGGCTTTCCCGACGCGCAGCTTCCCACTGAGATGCCCCTGTCCGCGTGGTGTGTACATGGACAACATCACAGCTCCGCGTGCAGGGAGCACGCCACACGGGGTCTACACAGCCTGTCTGCGTGCCCTAGTGCTTCACTCTGTGTTGGGGATGGGTCCCCGGTCTTTAGCCGTCAGCAGCCTCACATTGCCCTCTTCTTGGGCACTCCTACCTGCTCCCTCAGGAGGAGCTGAGGGAGGGCTCCCGGCTCGCAGGTCCTTGGGTGTGGAGGACCCGCTGCTCTGCCGCATCCCCTGACCTGCCTCTCCGAAAGCGCACGGCCGCCTGGGGGCTGTCTGGCCGTCCAGGCTGCGCCACATTGTTTCTTTACCCAAACTCAGAAGGACTTTTCCAATTCAAATCATAACCTGACCTGACAGGGTCTGCTTTTCCCCTTAAAATTATGAAACAAATCATAAATACCAAAGAGAACACTAAACATGTATATATCTGGCTTTAAAAAGAGTAGTAAGATGAACACGTTGAACATTAATTTCTGGTATAAGAATGAGTATACCTATTCGTGGAATGTAGATTCAGACCACATAGCATTATTTAAAAAGAGATGACTCTTTTGGGGCAGTGGCAGCCCCATTCCAGCAGGACCAGGTGCCCACACAGCAGCAGGAAGGCACGGGTTTCACTGCGGTGACTGAGAGGAGAGTGCCGCCTTCGGCCAGGTCAGGGCCCTCCCAGGCTCCCAGGCCACACACATAGTCGATGTGGACACAGCCTCCTCCCCAATACCTGCCTTCCAAGAAGATCTCGCCAAGGGTGGCCCTGGCTGCTGCCCTCACCCACAGGCACATTTCTGGACACGCCAGGACCCCATTCGCCGGGGTCGGCTGATGGAAGCTATAGAATGACTTGTAGCAGGTTTGGGGCTTTAATTCTCCGCATCTTTGAGACCGTTTCCAGAAACCTAAGCTTCCCAAATCCAAGAGCCCACCTCCTCTCTCCACATGCTGCTGTCTGCTCGGGGAGGACACAGCAGCAACCTGAGCCGTGCTTGAGGCGGCTCTGCTTACCCAGTCCACGATGAGGATCTTGCTCACGCTCAACCTCTGCTGCAGAAGCTTGGCTGCCACGGCCACGGAGTTGAAGTAGCAAAAGCCCCTGCGGGAGAGAACCAACGCTGGAGACAAAGCACAGGTGGGCGGTGGCCAGTTTTTCCACAACCCGCCGGAGAGCCACTCGGGGTCCACGCAGACCTAAGAGGTCTCTGTGAGTACACAGCTCCTGAATATGCCGCAGGGAACCTTCAGTGATGCCGGAGAATCAGCTAACAGAGAGACACATACACATCACACACACACACACACACACACACACACACACGGCTCCCAAACAAGCCACTGGGGAATCTTAGCTGATGCCATAGGGTAGGTTAACCGACATGGACATGCACACACCCCACACAGACACACACCCCACAGAGACACACACCCCACACAGACACACACCCCACAGAGACACACACATACATGCTCCACAGATACACCCATACACCACAGACACACACCCCACACAGATACACACCCCACAGAGACACACACATACATGCTCCACAGATACACCCATACACCACACAGACCCCACACAGATACACACTCCACAAAAACACACACCCCACACAGATACACACCCCACACACACACACACCCCACAGAGACACACACATACATGCCCCACAGATACGCCCATACACCACAGACACACACCCCACAAAAACACATACCCCACAAAAACACACACCCCACACAGACACACACCCAGACGCACATGCAGATACACATGAACACCCCACACAGAAACACTCACACACATACAGAAACCACAGATACATACAAGCACATACATACATATACACATAAACATATACATATCACACATATCCACAGTTCCATACAGAGACACACACACACACACACACACACTCTCCTGCTTGGAGGTCCCCCATGCTCCTCTGGTAGGGAAGCCTATTTCGCATGTGACCAGCATGTCCCTCATCTTCGCCTGGAACCCTTCCTCTCAGGAGCTGCCGCCACGGCACACGGACACGGCAGCTGTTCATCTCAGTTGCTTACTGCTGACCTTTCTGTATTCCAATACGCAAATTACCCTTAATTTTAGAGACTCTTACTCAAGAGACCGAGAAAACAAGCTATGGAAGTGATTCAAATAACAATGAAAACCTTCTCAATCCCCATTTCCCTTTGTCTGAATGGCCTCCGAGACGGGGACACACTAGTTGTTTTGTTTTCGGAATCTAGGCTGGCATGGGAAGCGCACACACCCCGGAACATCCTAGACGCTGAGCTCCCGCAGCGGCTCACAGGGAGCACAGCGAAGAGCTGCAACCAAAGACAACTCGTTTGTCTACTCTGAGGTTTATTATTCGGAATATCCAACAACTCAGGTTCAAATTAGAAAAGAAACTTCAGAGAAGTGAAACGAACAGGAAGCCTGGTGCCCAAGTGGCATGTTCTGGGATGTGGAGCAACCACGTGGTTTTCAGGTAAAGCCACAAAGGTTCCAACGGGCATCTCTCCCTGGCGGTTACAATCCCCTCTCTGTGCATGAAGGAGATTCTGCTCTAACATCCGGATCTGACTATCTCACCTGATGTGAAACAGGGCACTGCTGGCCCCTCCGCTGACGCCCGACTTCCCAGGGTGGCAGGGAGGCCCTTTCCTGGGCCCCTGCGGTTCCGTCTCGCTCTGACTGCTTCCTGGCCACGCCCTGATAATGAACTTGTATCTGCACTTGTTCTTGGTTGCCCATCTGACAAACTGCTGCTCAAATTCTCCAAGGCAGAGCCCCACGCCACCGTCTCCTCACCAAAGCTGGCAAGATCAGGCACCCCTTCTCCATCTCCAGAGCATGGGAGCTGCTCTTTCTAGCACCAACCCTCCTCACTAGAGTGGCTACCGTCCCACGAGATAGCATGCTCTTTGATGGGACAGCTCACTCATTTACCATCCACGCCGCAAGGCACTCCACACACAGCTGCCGGTCTGCCCTGCCACTGGCTCTGCACACACAGGGATGGGTTGCCACTCTGCCCAGATCCTCAGCTGTGTGGGACTGTCAGCGGTCTCTGAAAGACCCGAAACAGCACCTGGATAGCTGCCTGCATGGACGTGGCTCTGCGACTTGCTGCATCAGTACCAGGCGGTCAGCAGGCAGTTAAAGGCCATGCGCAAAATGACCTGAGTCCTCTAGACAACCAAGGGCTGCAGTGACTCACTTGAAGGGGAGTGGTATTTCCTCTCCCAAGTGTTGACAACTACTCAACAACCAGAGGCTTCTCTGGACTAATCTCCACACACCCTTTCCCATCCTTTCCTCTGATCTGTCTCCGTCACGACCGAGCAGTGACACTCGCAGACCTCGGCATCTGCACTCGACACCCAGGAGCTGAAGCCGGCATGCGGCATATCTTGGGTGGTCAGCAAACAGCAGCCCAGCTCCCCGAGGTCACTCAGGCACCCACCCAGCCCTAAGGGAGGGAAGGGAGACCCGGATTCCCCTGCAGTGCGCAGCTGCGGCGTGTACTCACATGGGTGTGCTCTCCTCCGCATGGTGTCCAGGGGGGCGGACCACAGCAAAGCCATTCTGCACGTGACACCAGACAGCCGGGAGAGAGCGACAAAAGACACGCTTTGTAGCCATGGGAAAATGGTGGCACACTCAACTTTTAGCAGAGTTGGGCTACATGGGAGGATAGTTTCTCGCTGCACCCTGGCCACAATGATGGGGAGAGGATGCAGGGCCAGTTATGAGCCTTTCCGAGAAGCCTGGGCCCTTTTCCTACAGGGGTCTGGGGGCTACTAATTGTTCCCCCGAAATGCAGTCACTGGGATAACGGGTGGGTGCCCTGCCCCACTCTCAGCTCTGTCGGTGAGGGGTGGTGCCCTCGGCGCAGGGGTCGGGGTGAGGTGGAACGGGGGTGCTCGCTCCTCATTGGCTCGGGACCAGGACCAGCCAGGTGGCCACTGGAGGAAGACGAAGCAGAAGGGGCCCCACGCAGGGACTTGGCCGCAGGGCAGAGGCTTTGTGCCCCAGCTTGGCCTTCACGTGACTGCCTCTGTCCTTACTGCGGTTCAGCTCCCAGGACGGCCGGCAAGTGGGCAGCCCACAAAGCAGCTCCTCTCAGGCAGGGCAGAAAAGCTGTCCTCTGCCCCGTCACTTCTGCGTCCAAAATCCATCTGCAAACCCCTCTGTAGCTGCCGCCATAAAAATGGATTACAGTCCTCTCTTGGTCTCAGCAGCAACAGGACATTGTGTGGTCAAGGTCTGTAATGGAGCCTCAAAAGTGCCGGCCAACCATGAGTGACCAGGCCGTGGGTGGGGTGAGCCGGATGCCGCAGGGACCAGGCCCAGGACGGCGCGAGGGCAGCCAGTGAGGGGCAGGCAAAAATGCTCTCAAGAGGCCCTGGCCTCCCTGTGTTTCTGCACTCAGTGCTTCCATGTGCAGGCTGCAGACCCCTGCGGTCCCAACCCCTGCTGAGGGTCTGTAGTCGGCATAGTCCCGAGGCTCTGTGTGCTCTTTTCACTGCCCTGACACCTGTGCAGGTGGTGCTGAAGCACCGGAGGGTAGACGGCGGGCAGGGAACAGCACGAGGGCGTGTGTGTGTGTGTGAGCAGCTTCCCTTAACAATGTGCTCGATGAAGCAGTATTCAGACATTTTATTAGATCTCCGCCCTCAAACATGTCCTTTTAACACCCCGAGTAGAGAGATGGGAAGGAAGTGTGAGAAAATTTGAGCTTTCAAGTGAAAATGACAAGTTTGGAACGCATGGCTCTGCCTCTGTAAGCCTGCTGGCTCTCCCACTACTCACAAGACTTCTGGTGAGATGGGAGTGATATTCATGGTTTCAAAATTTAATGACTTTTTTGATACTGCAGGAGTCAGAATACGGAAGATCCGTGTAACTCCGTGAAGTTAAATTTCCAAATGACCAATGCACGGTGCTACCAATCACCCATGAACGAGGGATTGATCTGACCTCCAAGAAGGGCTAATGGTTCGGTTAAACAAGACGGAGGAGGAGGCGGCCATGATTTGAGTTCAGATCCACGCTGCAGCTAATTTTCAAGACACTACCACTTGTTGAATTTTTGGTATACTGTCAAAGAATACCCATAATTAGAATACCTCTGAAAAGTCTATTAAAATCCTTCTCCCATTTCCAATTACGTATCTGTGTGGGGCCAGGATTCCTTCATGTACTTCGACATGGCCCAAGAATGATGCCAGGCAGGTGTGAGAACCCGGTTGCTGTCCACAGGGCCAGACGTTAGTGCTATTTTTATTTTTTTATTACTTTTTAATTTTTTTTTTTTTTAAATTTTTTGAGACAGAGTTTCGCGCTGTCACCCAGGCTGGAGTGCAATGGCGCGACTTGGCTCACTGCAACCTCCACCTCCCAGGTTCAAGCGATTCGCTGGCCTCAGCCTCCCAAGTAGCTGAGATTACAGGCACCCACCACCATGCCCAGCTAATTTTTGTATTTTCAGTAGAGACGGAGTTTCGCCATGTTGGCCAGGCTGCTCTTGAACTCCTGACCTCAGGTGATCCCCCCGCCTTGGCCTCCCAAAGTGTTGGGATTACAGGCATGAGCTGCCGTGCCTGGTCGCTATTTTTAAATTAATAAACATTTTGAAAATTTCTCAGTTGTAATCTCTAATGCAGTCAATATTGCGGATATAACTCATGTAAACAGAAGCTCTTTGGAGCTTCTGTTTATTTATTTTATTTTTTTTGAGATGGAGTCTCGCTCTGTCGCCCAGGCTGGAGTGCAGTGGCGTGATCTCCACTCACTGCAAGCTCCGCCTCCCGGGTTCACCCCGTTCTCCTGCCTCAGCTTTGGGAGTAATTGGGACTACAGGTGCCCGCCACCATGCACGGCGAATTTTTTGTATTTTTAGTAGAGATGGGGTTTCACCGTGTTAGCCAGGATGGTCTTGATCTCCTGACCTCGTGATCCACCCGCCTCGGCCTCCCAAAGTGCTGGGATTACAGGCGTGAGCCACCGCACCCAGTCATATATATAGTTTTTTAAGAGTATAAATTTTTAAGAGTATAAAGGGTTCTTACGACCCAAATCATTGAGAACCTCTGCACTATGCACACACCCTGTCACGAGTGTGGGCTATGTCTCTCTGATTCCACAGCGAGGCTATGCTGACAGAGTGGGGTCCACGCCTCCCCATTGCAGCTGCCTCCTGGCCTGATGAGAGGGAGATGCGGAGGGCAGCCCTTCCCCATACCGGGAATCTGTGGCAGGCCTCCTGGAGGGCCACCGCTGCCCAGGCCCCGACTGACCTTCAGCTCCCCCGTGGCCACCTTGAAGACCAGCTCCACCACGCAGCCCACAGCCAGGCGGGCCGCCCCCGCTGAGTGCACCTCGTTCCATATGGTGTCGCTGTCCACCTGTGGAAACAACACCCCACAGTGAGGTCACCCTCCCCGGTCACCGTCATCACCAGCCCTGGCTGGACAGAGCAGCTCAGGCTCTCTGGGCTCCGCTTCTAAAACCCCAGGGCCTACCAGAGCCGGGGCAGCCTCAGCCCACGTTCAGGCTTCAATCTTTTTAAGACATGCCAAAAAATTTAAACAGGAAACTACAAGAGAATTTACCAGAAATAAGATGCATGTGTCCTGACCTGTTCGGAGGCATCCTCTGTTCCCTCAATTGCTCCAATATACTTGGATCTAAAAGTAATGATGCCAAGGTGATCTAGTTCCTTTTTTTTTTTTTTTTTTAAAACTGGAACTGTAGTTAAGAGAGTTATTCAGGTTGAGTATCTCTAATCTGAGAATCTGAACTCTGAAATGCTACAAAAGCATTTTGTAGGCTGAGGCGGGAAGATCACTGGAGCTCAGGAGGTCAAGGCACCATGAATGCACCACTGCACTCCAGTCTGGGTAACACAGTGAGGCTCTGTCTCCAAAAATGAAAAAATAATTTTTGAGTGCCTATGTGATGCTCAAAGAAAATGCACTCTGGAGCATTTTTGATTTCAGATTTTTGGATTAGGGATACTGAACTGGTAAGTATAATGCAAATATTCCAAAATCTGAAAAACATCAAACTCTGAAATACTTCTGGCCCCAAGCATTTTGGATAAGGGATAGTCAACCTGTCTAACAATTAGCAGCAAAATGAAATGTCAGGGGAATCAGGACCAGTCTCTTCCAACTGTGACCTTCTCCTGTGCCGAGTTTAACTGGAAGCTCCACATGTTGACCAGTGTAGTTAAGTCGGTCTGGGAGTGTGGGCGAGTGAGGAGGGCTGCCCTGCTCTGCCCTGCTGATGGCACACGGCTCTGCCCAGGCACCCTGCCCTGCTGATGGCACACGGCTCTGCCCAGGCACCCTGCTGATGGCACACGGCTCTGCCCAGGCACCCTGTCCTGCTGATGGCACACGGCTCTGCCCAGGCACCAGCAAGTCAGCCCACTGGCCTTTCCCACTTCAGACAGAAAACGTGTTTCACACAAACATGTCAACAATCCCCAATTGTGTGTTGGCTCATTTATTTATTTAGGCACACTAGAAATTTCTTACAGCCCTGGCTCACTTCAGGAGGAAAGTCGACAGAGACCTGGATAGCCAGTTCTGCACAGAGCAGTCTCCTATGGGAGTCTGGCCAGGGGAGGGAGGCGTTAAGATGAAATACACAGCCCTTGGGCTGGCCCCATGGCACCCGAGCAGCCGTCCCCAAGTGTGTCCTTTGCCTGCAAGACGCTGTGGGGTAACACACCGGGGACTTGGGGGTGCCCAGCCCGGCAGAGGTCTTAGAAGCTGCATCATCAGAGTTGCTCGGCTTCAACACGGTGCTGACTGGGTCGACTGCAGGTCCATTGCAGGGCGCCTCCTTCTCAAACTGAGCCCCTCTGAGCGCCGAGTGCTGTGGGGATCCTCAGCAGGAGCCAGGTGTGTCCACCCCGCCTCTCCCTTCCCCAGACCAGGCCCTCGAGGGCTCCTGTCCACACCAGGCAGACTTGCCACTTGACAGACACCGCCCACTACATGGGGAGGGAGGATTTCTTTCCAAGCTGTCTTAAAGCTTCGTCATTAAAGCAAGGTGAGTTAAAATGCGTTTTCAAGGGGCTGAAGACATTTCCTGAAGCATATTCAGTGACGGTTTTCTTTCCAATGACCAAACTTCTACATTCTTTAAATGGTTTCCCCATGTCAAAATAACTCTACTTCACTGACCCTCCTTTAATCTTCAACCTGCAATGAATGGCTTCTCCTCTAAGTAATGCTATATTGTTTTTCATGGAAGCAGCCACATAAATAGGACTATTCTGGGTTGATGACTTCAGCTGGAGAATCAATTCATTAAAATTAAAGGTGGCAGGGGTGTGGCAGCTCATGTCTATAATACCAACACTTTGGGAGGCCGGGGTGGGAGGATCACTTGAGGCCAGGAGTTAGAGACCAGCCTGGGCAACATAGTGAGACCCCATCTCTGCAAAAAATAAAATAAAAAAAGATTAGCCAGATGTGGTGGCCTGGGCCTGTAATCCCCACAACTCAGGACGCTGAGGCGGGAAGATCACTTGAGCCCAGGATGTTGAGGCTGCAGTTAGCCATGAACGCATCACTGCACACCAGTCTGGGTAACAGACTGAAGCTCTGTCTGCAAAGAGGAAAAAAAAAAAATCCAAGGTGACATCCCAGGAGTGAGAGCTGGGCAGGGCAAGATTCTGCCAGCGGCTCTGTGTCAGCCAGGGGAGGCAGGGTCCCAGGCAGGACAGGCCCTGAGGCTGCCCCTGTGGGGACAGTACCCAGAGATGGTTTCTCTCCAGCACACAATGAACTGGGCTTTAGGATTAGGCCAACACTGCAGGGAGCGGAGGGTGGATTCCTCCCATGTTCTGAAGGGTCTTCTGGGGATTCTGCACACCTGGGGTGCAAACGAGCTGCTCGGTCTACCAGGTGCCTGTGTCTGTGCCCCCTCCCATGGGACCCTGGGGTTCAGAAGCTTCTGGAATGTCTTGCAGAGTGAAGGATAGAGCCCCAGCCAAACTGCAGGACCCCAGTCCCCAGAGAACTCAAGAGACCCTCCTTCGTCTGCTTCAGGACCACGGCTCCAGCTCCCAGGGACCAGCCCCGAGTTCCAGGAGCTCCAGGGCTCTTGCAGGGAGCCTGGCTCAGGTGTGCAGCACCACCCCTGGGCAACAGCCTGGCTCAGGGCAGGCGGCCACAACTACTTAATGCAGGAAGGAGCAAATGGCTCACTCTGCATTTCGTTTAGTTTCTTTTTTTCTTTTCTTTCCTTCTTTCTCTCGCTTTCTTTTTCCTCTCTCCTCTCCTCTCCCCTCCCCTCCCCTCCCTTCCTCTCCTCTTCTCTTTCTTTTCTCTTTCTTTCTCTTTCACGATAAAGACAGGAAAATGGCGGGGGTGGGGGGGGGAAACATGGAGAAAGGTTCCCATGGAGAATCCTATGGAGTCTAGAACAGACACACCGAGGGCTGGCAGGGCTGGGAGGCCTTTGGGAAGCTCAGAGGAGCCGTGGGGAGCCGGGCGCACAAGAGGAGGCCGGGACTGTGCTGGGCGAGGCCGAGCAAGGACACCAGCTCCTCACCTAGTTGAAACTTGTGGTCACTGGAGAGAAACAATGCAGGAGCTGATCTGGTTTGAAAAAGAGGTCAAAGCACTTTACAGCCCACATTTCCCAGCGTTGAGGAAGGGTGAGTTTTCAGTGTTCCAAGCCCCACTGCTCCGTCTCCAGCAGAGTTTGCAGCTGCTTTTGGGAAAGGTGGCCGGCTCTGCTCACCGGCTCTGCCCTCCCTGACAAGAGCACCTCCTGTGCGCCCACATTGTGGCTCCTGAGGTCTACTTTGCTCCTCCTGACACCCCAAGAGGCTGGCCCCTCACAGATCTGGAGACATGAGGCTCAGGAGATTTGCATCTGTGCCAGCGACAGCAAGTGCATCCCACAGCCAGGGCAGGGGCCTGCACAGGCCTCCTGTCTGTCTTCTTCCTTTTAGAAAACAGTGGGAAGAAAACGCATCCTGCTGATGGCTGCACCTGAGGACGCCCCACGACCCGCACTGTTCCCTGCCCATGCCAATAGGTTACCCTCTCTGCCCTCCCTGCCCACGTCCACGTGGAGAGCTTTTCCATCAGCATCTGCGCACGAGTGCCTGCCTGTGCCCAGATGTGAGGGTGCAGCTCTCATCTGCTGTGCCTCAGATCTGGATTTAACACTTGGGAGGGGCTGCTGGGCTCACCCCCTCAGCTCTGAGTCTGCACTTAGCTTTCATTTGCAAATGATAAATTCTTCCTTGCACAGGCGTGCTGGCTGCAGGGCAGTGCAAATTCAATTCTTTTCAAGTCTGGCCAAAAACTTGCCCCAAATTAAGAGATTGCAGCCTATTTACAATACAAAATAAAATACCTCTAGGAGGGCTTGGTGGTGGTATGAATAAATGCCATTTATTCTCTTTCTGACAGGATAATTTTCAAAGCAGTGATTTTTATAAAAACTCAGGAAGAAAACAATTTTGTTTCATTTCCATAACAGAATCCAGACCTTGAGCTTCACCCTGCGATCTGTGATTACACACACACTGCACTGTTTTGGCTGTAGTGGCTCCTGCTGTCCACTAGCTCCCATCCTCCCTGCCTGCAACCGTCTGTGGTGATTCGTGGCGCTGCAGGACAATGATGGCCCAGATCTGCTCGGAGGCTCTGCCTCAGCTTCTCATGGCCGCCCTCGCTGTTGCCACCCCTGCCCAGGCTGCATCAAGGAGGTCAGGGACCAGGGGAGAACCCTTTTGTTATTGAGAAATTTCATTGCAAGACCTGACCCTTCCTGTGTGGACGGATGGGCAGATGCCCAGACTGGAAGTCCTTGCGAACCCATGCACCCAGGCCAGGTCCATAGCATCAGCTCGTAGAAGCCGGCACAGCCCAGGGATTCATATGCCCAGGCCAGGTCCGTATCATCAGCTTGCAGAAGCCGGCACAGCCCAGCAAGCAGCCCTACAGACTCCACTTGGCCCATGAGTATCACGGTCACTGCACCGGGAGCCCTGCCTGTAGCTTCGAGTGGAAACTGGGTACAGAATAAAGCAGCACGCATTCTACCCGCACCATACTCGTGGCCTGCTGGGAGCAGATTACTGCCGCAGACTTAGAAGGGGATGAGACACTGGCTGCACACAGGATCCTGTTTCTTAAAGCGAGAGCCACTGCACCCCAGAGCCCCAGCCGCAAGCGCCAGACGACCTTCCCCAGAGAAAGGTGCCCGAGTCGGCGATCAAAACGCTCTCGGCTCACACGGCCTTTGAAGCCGCACATGGGCAGCCCCTGCCCGCCAGGCCCTGTGTGTGGAAAACACCTGGCAGCAATTATTCACTTTGAGGGAAGCAAGGCTGCGATTTCTGTGACCACTGGGACTCGAGAAGAAACAGGACATTATTTACACATTAAAGGAACACTTACCCCAACACCACCGCAGGGGAGCCGGACGAACACGGAGGCGAGCGAGCCTGTAGGGGGGAGGGAGACAGTCAGAGAGGCCAAGGGCATGAGGCCGAGGCCCTGGGAGCACCCCGGGGTCTTCAGTGGTGCTTGGGCATTTGTGGGACACCGAGGGGCCACTGCTCCCCCATGTGACACCCTGTGGCCCTGCTGTGGAGTCAGCGTCTGGCCCTTTGAGGTGCCCTGGCTCCTGTGAGGGCTGAGCTGGGTCACAGATCCTGGTGGGGACACCCCAAATTGTTGTGGCATCAGCCTGTCAGGGGCCCCGGAGAGGCATTAAATCACGGGGGAGCATGAGGTATCCCTGGCGGGCATCTGCCTGCAGCCCGTGCCCCTGCTGTATCTAACAGCAACTCCTGCTCCAGGACCCCGAGCCTGGCTCCTCAGTGAGCTCCTAGGGCTTGTCTAGCAGCCCCCTCCCACGGCAAACAGGATAGGTCCCGGATTAAACATGGGTGATGAGGACTCTTAGACCCTGAGATCCTCGGGAATGTATGCAGCGACAGCCCCTCCCTGCGACACAGGCGGAAAATGTACAGCTGACTGAGGGCTCCAAGGACATCACAGCTGCACGCCAGGCCTCCTCCCATGGAAATCGGGGCCCTCGAAACCCTCACCCCACTGCTCTGGTGCCCACGCCTGCTCCAGCAGTGAAAGTGCTCCCAGGACAGGGGTGCTGTCTTTTTCCTGTTTGACCCCAGTGCTGGCTGAAAGCATGTCACCAGCTTAAAACCCATCTGTGGAGGACGAGAGACCCCCACTAACCAGGGGCGGGGCCTGCCATTCCTAGCGGCTGCCTGGGCCCCAACCCCTTGCTCTCCGCAGCCCCAGGCCCCTTCCTGGGCTGCAGCTGGGGTGGCGTTTCACATGCTCCAGGGAGACTGGCTGGATGTAACAGGCTCCTTTATCTAGCGTGGGACCCCGCTTTCTGGCCTCAGCTGGGCTGTGCCCCCCACTGTGGGGCTCCTCTCCCATTCTCAGCCTACTCCAGAACAGCAGCCCCCACTCTGTGTGCTCTGGTCCACGCTTCTAGGGTCGGCTGCCGGGGGCCATAGGAAGGAGTTGGCCATGGGTCCATCAGGGCCTGCCTGCCTCTTGCCTGGAGGGCTTGCCGGCCTGATGAGCTGGGTGTGCATGAGAGGAACCCTTCCCCAGGGCACAGCATGCCTGGCTGGGGGGAGCAACCGTGATGGCCCCAAGCCGCAGGGGAGTGGCTGGCACAGACGAGAAGCTAAACAGAGGCCTGCCTGCCTTAGCCCACGGACGCCTGCACCCTCCACGGATGCCCGGATCCCCCCCAGATGCCCGCATGCCCCCACGGACTCCTGCACTCCCCCCACAGATGCCTGCACCCCCATCACACCACCACAGACGACTGCACCCTCCCCATGGATGCCCGCCCCCCATCCCCGCCCCCATGGACACCCACACTCCCCACGGACACCTGCACCCCCCACCGACGCCCACATGTCCCACAGACGGCCACAGCCAGGCCCTAGTGTGAGGCCCGACCTGCAGAGCTGACCCAGGCTCTCCCCACTCTGTGGAGGTGGCGGATCTGCATCAAGGCCAGAGGCCTGTAGAATGGACATGGCCATGTCCTGGGGCTGGGAGGCTGCCACGCCAACAGGGAGCAGGGCAGGAGGCAGGAGACAGGGGGCAGCAGCTGCAGCTGCTTTCAGAAGGGGCTCAGAGGCTCCCAAGCCCCCTAGGCAAAGGAAGGAGAGGCCCGGCCCCCACCTGCTAGGAAGGCCCGGCCAGCTGACGGGTGCAGGCGCCATGCAGATGCTGTGACGTTTTCCAGACAAAACCCTTCGTGCTGGGAGGGGCCAGTCTGCATCAGAGGAAGCCTGTGCTCCTTTCCACCTGGCCTGGCTCTGAGGGCAGGGTCTGTGCCCACCTCGTCCCTCCTCCCTGCCTGGGCCGTACAAGGCACTGAGCCAGCAGGGGCTTTGGTCAGCCCTGGCTCTCGCCACAGCGCTCAGCAGGCACACCTCAGCCTCTGGGTCCGGGCCCTCATGCCCACTGCGGGCAGCAGCACCAGCACCAGCATGCCTCCCCTTCCTGGGCATTGTCCTGGGCCTACTTCCTCCGCGTCCATGGCTCACGGACCCGCCGCTGCCTGGCTCGTGGCTCCTGACCCTGGTTCCTGTGTCCACGTGTTAGTGTGGGATGTGGGACATCAGCTAACACTTCTCACCTGAGCCTCATGAGAGCCAGCCCTCATCCCCACAGGCATGTTGGCCCTGCTCTCCTCTGTGCCTTGGTGGCAGCAAGTAGTGGACGTGAGGTTGACCACGTGGGGAAGCGGCCTGCAAGCCTGACCCCTTTGAGAAGCGATGGGGCTGGGCAGGAGCTGGCGGGATGTGGTGGGCGAGAGAGCTGGTGGGCAGGAGGAACGAGACTGAAAAAGGAGGGCATGGGTGCCAGGGTGCCAAGCCACCTGCTGTCCTACTCACTGCTGTCATCTGTAGTGGAGTCACCTAATGCCAACCTCACCACAGTGGGCAGGTGCTGCCTCGGAAGGGCGGTCATGGCCTTGGTGAGTGGCTGAGTAGCTGGGGCTGGTAGTGGCTCCGTGGGCCACCTCCTTCCAACACTGACTACTCCAACGCATGGGAAAGACACTGCCAGAAACTAGGGAGCTCGTTTTCCAAATAATGCACGCGCTCAGCTCTACGAATTCACAGTAGACAGACGTGTCCAGGTATCTGCAAGAGACTGAATCTCTTTGAAATCATAGCCAACCATGCCCACATTAAAACCACAAGTCATCCACCTGTTTTGAGTTTGCTCATTACCAGCAAAGACCAAAACAACAAAGAAAAAGCACACGATCATGCATCCAAATACACGTGTATAGGAATGGAGTAACAGGCAGAGTTTTGGTGACAGCTGTAAGGAGCCCAGCAGCCTCTTGTGGTTTGAAGTCACAATCACCAAGCCCAGGCCACGAAATGTTCCAGCCTGGTGACAGTGCCCGAAGCTCTGCAAACAACCAGGCTTACTACTTGTCTGTTTACCAAAGGCTGGCAGACAGGTGTTCTGTGCCTGGGGTAGGGAAGGGAAGGCTCCAGCCGTCCTCTCGCCGCTGCTCCCGCTCCCTGGCTGGGAGGAGGCCCTTGCTGTGCCAAGTCATTTTCCTGCCGCACTCTGCCCTGAGCATCACTGGTGCCCACTCGCCAGGGGCCCAGCTCTGCCTGGATGCAGCGCCCTGCCAGCTGACCTGAGCCGATGAGCCACAGGACTTTCAGTGACATGTACGGCAGCGGCCGGCCTGCCTCAGGCTCACGATCCAATTCAGCCACGCCTGATGTGTGGCGTCTCACCACATCAGAAAGGACACATGAAGGCCCTTGCACACGGCTTAGCGGCTTGTGGATTCCATTAAAAGAGGAAAGAAAAAATCATACAGTAGTGTTTAAACACCTCATTAGGGCTATGTTAGCAAAACTCAAGATAATCATCGGCTATTACCGTGTCTGAAATACTTAGACTGATGATAATGAAGTTTCTGTGTTAGGACAATTGTCGGAAATTCAAAAATCGATCTCGAGTTGTACGAACGTAATGGGTGAGATATCCTCACAGACGTGTGAACAGATTTTAAAGCACAAAGCTTTGCAGGAAAGAACAGGAAACAGAATGATCAACCTTCCTGTAAACAAAAGAAGCTGGCTAGAAGAGTTACCTTCAGAGGACAGGAATGCGGCAAAGGGATGCTGCAGATACTTCAATAAAGAAACCAGCAACAAGAAAGGGGTCTACAAGGGCCTAATGTGGGCTGTGAACTGAGGACCAGGGGCCCATTGGGTAACCAGTAATCGCAGGAAAGAGAGCTCCAAGCTCGCTCCGTCCATGACTTTCTCACCAAGGATGCTACACATCCAACTTTCTGCTTTCCTTTTTGACCATCTCTCTTAAACTTTGTTTGAAACTAGCTTAGAAACCTAAGCAAGGTGGTGGAGCTAAGCCTGCCTTCATCCTCCTGCTGGTGGAGCTGGTCCTGCCTCCATCCTCTGCCCACTGAATTCCACAGGTTTGGAAGACTGAAGGTGGCAGGGGATGGACCGACAGCTGGTCCTTTGAAAACGGACGAAGGTGTCAGAAGCAGCTGCCATTCTGAAAGGCGTGGAGGTGGGTGCACGGAGCTGCGTGTGTGCAGGACACGGCCTGATGAGCTGATGCCTTGAGGCTGCCCAGCAACTCCCACGTCTACTGAAAGCCCCTGCTGTGGCAGCCCCGGCGACATCGAGGCAAAGGTCTTGTTCCCTCACGGGGCCCGCAGGCAGCCTCTCCCGTGCTGGAGAACCCGGCCAGAAGCTGAGGTGCCACAGGCGGAGGCAGTGACGTTGCCTGTTAAGGACTAGAGAATCCTGAGGGACAGCACACTCCAGCCTCAGTGCCTCCATTCCCAGCCTTTGGCCACCCAGCTCCCGGACACAAGGCTGCCTGCCCTCTCCACCGTCCACACCGCCCTCACCCTTTAGGGCTCCCTTCCCCGGCACCAGCGGTGCTCCCTGCCTCTGCTAGGTACCCCACCATCCATGCGCCATCATCTCCCCAAGGAGCATGTGCCCCCTTCCTCGGGAGTAGCTGCATAAGCTTCACTCTCTGCAGGGCAATCTCAGGCTTCCCGGCCACCACCCTCTCACAGACCATCCAGTACAGGTCGGCCTCCATGATGGGCCTCCCAGTGTTCTTTTGCCCTAGGACAGCATGTCCTCTGGTGGCTTCCTGAGAAAGAAGAGCTGGAAGGTGAAAGCTCTGGCCCTTGCATGCCTGGAATGCCCCTGTGCCACCTTCCTCCTCACCCGGCAGTTTGGCAGGACACAGACTTCAGGAGGGCAATGACGCACCCTTAGAACTGGCATGGCCACAGGCCCTGTGGAGTCCGCAGGTGCCCTGGCTGTCTCTAGCGCCCTGGCTCTCACCTCTGTCCCTGCATTTTGAGGCTCTGCTGGTTCTCCCTAAGAGGGTCTTTCTTACCCCTGGTGGGTCCTTGCAG